TATATTATATATATATATATATATATATATATACACACACACACACACGCATACATATGTATATATGTATATCATATGTATGTATAAATAAATATATTATGTATATATATACAGTATATATATTAATGTATATATATAATATAATATATATATATATATATATATATATATACATATATATATATATATATATATATATATATATATATAATATAATATATTTCTTTCTGCATCATCATGGTCATCAGAAAGCGAAACAATAGTACCTCTAAAGTGATCTTTCTACCTCTTTCGCATTTCTCGGGTTAATATTTTTACATGCACATCTGTTCAATATGTTTTGGCTTCCATAATTGCTATCCGTTCTGTCGAATATTCTCCAATTAGCTCTCTCTCTCTCTCATTTATTATTTTTGTGAATTTACTTTCGGTATCCTTGTCACGCCCCCTGAGCGAGTAGTTGCATCATATGAACTAGCCTTCAACTAGTCACTGTGAACACGTAAAAGCAACAACCAAAGACGCATTTAGAGAAAGGTATTTATTTGGACTATTAGTGTAAATATCTGTAAATATGTGTGACAAAGGTATATTGCTAACACTTCTTTTGTTGTAATGATTTTCATGAATAAAATGTGTACAGGTATATTTCTTTCTTTTTATTTCAATTTATCTTTGAACAGATTTATGTATAAACGGAATTTCCTTTAAATGAAGTGGGCATGAAACGAAAGTACTTGTGTAAGTACAGGTTGAAGTTGAAATTTGAAGGACAATGGGTATGAAATATGAAGGACAATAGAGAAGCGAACCTGCATGTATAAACGAATAACATTTCATCGTAATACATTAATGAAAATCTACTAATTGTTATGAGCGTAATGTATCAACATGCATAATAACCCGTCATTAATGAAATCCACATATCAGAATCCTGAATTTACAACAGACAGCCTTTTTTTCTCAATGACAAAATTTACCTACTTTCATAATACTGATAATACCACCGAACAAGTACATGTTTTAAGCAATCTTTTGATGTTAGGCTGATATAACTTTTATTATGCAGCTGGCCACACTAAGGTTACCGAGCTGGAATTTTATCTGGAAACACAAGTACATTCAAATATAACAATAAAAGCCCTATTGTTAATTACACAATGTTAAACGGTCTAAGAGAACCTCCAGATTGATATTGTTTTTATTATCATCATTCTAAGGTAATTAGTGGTACCTGAGCTAACATCCCCAACTTATAGGTTGGAGGATCCAGGATAGACACCAGGATATAGGCCTATATTTGGGAAAAGTTAACGGATTGATTCCATTTGCACATAGCGCCCAGAAGCCAATTGTGTTCTCTTCGCTTGCCAATCTTGCCCCCCCCCCCTCCCTCTCCAAGAAAAGGCTGGAATGACGAGCTTTGGTCATGTCCAGTTTACTCTAATTTTCATATCGTATTCCGAGTTTGTATATAAGTTTCATTATGACAATATGTTTTATGAATTGAAGATTGCATACAGGTACAGGTTGCATACAACATACTTTGAGTATATCGTATATTGTTGTACCATGTAATTCTAACCTGGATAACAGTTATCGTTTAATTTCACGAGAATTATTGCAATGGTAATACTGTCCTTACGAGCATAATTTTACTGATTATGACACCATTCTAGTCTGTTAGTTATTAAAAGTTTTTATTTAATTCTTACCAATCTTCATATTTTTTCTCG